TCAATGGATGAGTTCTTGGCATCGAAAGAAAGATTGGAAGATTCCTAACAACTTTCATGTTGTAAGAAGATTAATTTTAAGCCTAGAACCATGAGAAAGAAAGCTTTGAAAACTCATCCTCCAAGGTAAGATTCCATACTTAGAAAAATTCTAAGTATAAACTTTCAAAATCTTGTTTTTTCATAACTTTGAGCCTTCGTAACTTGAAACCCATGCACTTTTTGGGAAATAACTCATATTGACAAAGTTGTAGTGTGGGAAATGCTCTTCGAATTGATCTTGGGATAAAGAAAAATGGATGTCTAGATTGTGAGTTATGCCCTTGACAAGTTGGTACCAAATTAGGCTTTCTTCCTAACTTAGAAAATTTTAACTTTCCTAATGTTGCTCTTTTTGCAAGTAACCTCCAATTTCTTAACTTTCATTGATTGATCATGACCTAAACCATATTTTATCACCATTCTTGACTTGGGGAAGGCATGGTTGATCAAAATTCTCAAAAGTCAAACTCTGAAATAGAGGAACAATTGACTTTTATCAGATGAATCTTCACATCTTGATCTTTAACAACAACAACCTCTTGGGCTATTTGAACACCATAAGTGGATCTCATGGGTGTATTTAAGTATCTTGAATCATGTTTCAAGGCTTAAGATCATGTCTTGATCAAAAAGTCAAAGGTGCAGTTGAATTTGATTGAGGAAACCGTAGTTCTTGATTAGGTGCAATTGAATCTTTGAAGCACTTGATGTGAAGCCATTTGGTCTTGAATTTTGATGGAGGGAGATATCTTGGGAATATGAGAACTTGATTAGTTGAAGATTTCTTAAAATTTTGACTGGTCAACCCCTTAACTTTCTTAGGATGGACCCTAATTCACAGATGAACAAAAGCAAACAAAACAAGGCTTGATAATTGGGTTAGTTATGTATGGATGATTGACTTAAAATGTTATGCAGTATGATGCAAAAGGAGGTGGAATCTTAGGGTTAAAAATTATGGTGTGACAATATTCACCAACGATTGGATCCCTTGTGTCTGAGTATTCTCATTGAAAAATGAGACATCAGAGCATATGTAGTTTGAGGGACTACCGATTATTGGTTTGTGTCTTTTAATGAACGAGTGTTTAGATTGCATTCTGATTACTAAATATTAGCTTGTCTGCTCACGAGGGGAGGCTGAAGCACTAGTTTATATATGCGATAGAAAGGACTAAATAATGTTCTTTGAGAAAAGTTGTTTGAGTTTTGGATCACACTGAGGCGAGGAATTAGTGTCTTGAGAGGTTTCAATCGTATGGGGGCGAGAAAAGACAAGTTTGATGTGTTGATGTTGATTTTAGGGTTTTGAGAAGATTGTTCTTGACTTAGATCACACTAAATACTATGGGTAGAGGTGAATATTTAGAATCACCAAGACAAATGTCTTGTGCCCAAAATACTCAGAGTGAGTGTAGGAAAGCTCCATTCTCACTCCTTCTTCACTATTTAAGACTCGTGGCACACAATCTTAATCGCCTTTTATTGTGTTTTTAGAGTTTATTCGAGAAAATACCACTTGACGTTGGATTAAGGATTTTATTGTGGGATGAGGTTGAAAATGGTTTAAAATAGAAAAGGTTGATGGTGATGCATGAAGCGGCCGACTTAAAAAAATGGGATATGGCTTGATATACAGATCAAGAGTGCTTTGGGTTTGGTTGATAGCGATGCACAAGGCGATCGACTTACATGGGTTAGGAGAGGATACCACTTGACGTTGAATCAAGGGTTCGAAGAGAAATTAAGGTTGATACCTTATGTATTTCATCTAATTTATGTATTGTGAACTACTTTTGGTTCTCTATTGATGTTATAGTAATATTTGTTGGGTCTAAACTCTAGACATAGATTTAGCTTGAACATTCACGTGAGTATCAATTCTTAATGCTCTGTGTTGGTTTTGTTGCGTGATATATCACCAATAAGACAATACGGTTGGCATCTCGACTTTGCGTTAGACATAACCTCTGTTGTGGGTGATACATGATGGTATTAGACGAAAGTTTGATTTATGTATAACATGATTAGAAGAATTCCTGTGTTATTAATTGATAAGATCCAATCCCAATAAGGCTCCGTTTATAATTCAATTTTTACTTTATATTTTTCGTCTTTATATTTTATGCCTTTATTTTTGGTGCCTTAAATATTTCAACCAAAATTTTGCATCAGAGGCTTAGAAATATAGAGACCGTTGAACGATAATTCTTTCCCTTGCACCAATCTCTGTGGAAACGATATAAGCTCCGGAGGAAATTTCTTCAAAACTAATGTTTTGCTTTTTGCCGCTTTACTCCAGTTCAAACATAAATGTATGTACAAAATAAATAATGACTAATTAGATTAAGTTGGGTATATCTGAAAAAATGCCCTTTCCAAAATTTAATTTCTTCAAACTGATGTGAATAAATTATAAATATACTTCGTCAATTCAAGATTACTGGTGTGTCATGATATATGTACTCAGAATGCCTTAATTTGATCATTTTATGAATTTTAAAGAAAAGGAAAATCGGGTATAGAGACTTAAACTCTAATCCATAGCCAAATTGGTGTTTTTGAGGGCGACTCTAGCTTGTGTTTTCACAAGAAATTTAGGATCAAATGAATACAAGATGAATTAATCTCTAGCCAATTAGAACATAAATTCCCGTATGAATATCTACACTTTACTTTCATGAACATTTTAGCTTTGTTTAAATTCTTCCAGTGCAAGTCAAATTGCTTGAGGACAAACAATTGTTTAAGTATGAGGGGGGGGGGGGGGGGGGGGGGGAGGGAGGTTGACTATTGGCCTTTTAGAATATTTCCATGCCTGTTTTATGTTTGCATATTTGTAGTTTAATCTTTATTTTTGTATTTTTTTTTACTTCCGTTTGTGTGTTTTCTTCGTGTTTCAAGTAAAAAAGACAAACCAAGAAAAAATGGGAGTAAAAAGGGAAAGAACGCATGTAAACGACTGCCTATTACGTGCTTGGGGAAAATGGTCTCTCATACAAAAACTAGAGTCTGTTGTGGCCTGGCCGTATTGGCCATTACTAGTCGTAATTGAGGCCTTTCCTACCCCTTTCTACAAATCAAGTAGGGCACACGAGAGGGAGATATATCTTGGCTGTAATGGCGATTATTGGTCGTAGCATACCACCAAACTGCCTTAGTTTTCTTTTTCTTTGAGTAATTTTTCTGATCTTTTGACATTTAAACTATTTTGGTCAGATGCAAAAACTCCATGTAGGTTAATTATGCGAATTTAATGCATTAATCATGTAATAAGGTCTATGAATAGCTAAGAAATTTAGGAGAAAGACACCACTTTTTTTCTTAGAATCCAATATATTTTCTTGTTCTTATTTTCATGCGTTTCCATACCAACAATTTGTATTATCAAGACTCTTTAAAGCAATTTTTATTTCAACATAATTCATGTTTTATTATACCTTTCTCTTGTTATTATGTATATGTATGAATTTTATGCTTGTGTTATTTTACTGTTAGCTATGTTTGAGTATATAGTAATAGGGTCTGAGACATGAGGGTCGACGTACCAACATACCTCATGCAAGTTTTTTAAATATCGATAATAATGAGAATCCACTATTTTGTTTGGATTTATGTTTTCAAAAGAAAATTGTTCGCTACGAAAGTAATAACACTCATACGTCGTTTATACGCCAAAAGGGTATAAATGATATTTGAATTGAAAAATCAAGTCGTTGACTCTGAGACTGCGAAAATGTCTTAGAGTCCAGTGAAAAAGTACTTTTTTATTAAAAGGGTTTTTTAATATACAAAATATGATGTGAAAGAAGGTATATTAGAATCACGTAATGCGTTGACGAAAGTGATCATTATAATTTAACATTTTCTACAAAATCAAAATTCTTATTAAAATCGATATAAAACTTGTATGAGCAATGTTGGGTGACAATAATCAAAGTGCCACTCTTAGTTTTAATAATAAGGAAAATCAAAATTTTTATTTTTCTCGCAAACAAATTGAATTATTTATCATATTAGATATATATCGAAACAATAGAATACAATAATTTAAAACTTGATATTTGTGGACAATACATTTCTACTACTTCAATATAGTTGTCCACTTACATCTTATTAGATACATACAAAGAGATCAAAAGTTACTTCATTACCTTTATCCTATAATTGTCCAATAATAAAAAAAATCATGTTTTAAACCTTTAACTAATAAAACATCCTCAATCATTAGATTAAGATACTTATCAATCGGAGTTAAATTCTTTCTTTGTTTCTTCATTATCTTACAACCTAAAGTTAGAGATAATATTTGTCTCCACTTATATTTTAAATTGACTTTATTATATATTTCTCTTTGATTAACTAGAATGAAATTTAAGTTGTCTCTTTCTTTGATGCGATGTTAAATATTATGTATGAAATTGCATTTATATTATCTTTGATTGTGTTTATTGTTCGTATTTTGCTCAATAGTATAGTTAATCTAAATTATGTGTTTTGATTACATGATTATTAAAAATATGATTACTTTCTGATGTAATTTTATGTGTTATAGAACCATATTAAGTAGACATATCAACATAGCGGATCAGATTGATATAGTTTTTATCTTTGTAAACTAAAATATGAATTTTCAAACAATTTTTTTTCCTACCCTAATTTTCAATGGAATGAAAACGTAAAACTCAAATCCATTCCGAACAAATTTGGATATTCATGCCGCCATCATCCATTTAAAATTGAATCAAATTATAGATTAATTTATCTTTAATCCTCAAGATAACACAAACGGCATGCGAATGCCCCCTCTTAATTACGACTTCAAATATGACTGAAAAAAAAAAGACTTGAGATATGTTTTAAAATAAATATGTAGTATATTAATTTAGTTGAAAAATGAGAAAAGGAGAAAGAAAAAAAATTGGGAAAGGATAAAGCGAAATTCTCAGGCTCTGAGCTATGGCTTCAACCATTCTTCCATTAACCAACGCTCAATTCGCTTCGTTTCATTCTCACCACTCTCTTCCTTCCATCGCCAAGTAACTTCCCCTTCCTTTTCACTTTCTCCTCAAATTCCTGTTTTCTTTTTCAGCTGAAAGTTCACCACTTCACAACAATAATTCCGTTAATTCACGCTACCTGTTCCGACTGAAATCGTGAAAGTCTTTACGCCACGCAGCGCAACCGCAACTGCGGTGTTATCGGTTAAGGACCTTGTTTTGTTATTGGTAATTAATGAGATGAACCTCTTTGTTTTAGGTGGGGATGGAGAAGAGAGCAAGATGCAAGGATGGCTTCACATAGGACCCAAAGTCAAGCATTTCGAGTCCTTGCTAATCCCAATGTATGTATCAATTGAATACTTTGCAGTATATGTGTGTATTGATTGTTTAGAAAACCTGATAATTGTTTTGAGATTGGTTGTTTTTCTTTATGAACTTTTGAATTTATGTTTGCTGGAAAACTGTGTAGGTATGATCTCAAATGTTGCTTATTATTGATTTCAATATTTCATATAGTATGTTATAGTTTATGCTATCTGTGGTTCTATATTTTGTCTGCACATTTAATAGCACGAAAATACATATGTACATGGTAGAAGTAGTAGATTGGAAATTTAGAAATTTTAGAGGATACCAGGTTGTTAGAATTAGAGCTTGGCCTAACTCATTCATACAAAATCGGCTTGTAGGGTGAGAATTGTCTAATGTGAGATTCTTAACCCACACAACTCACGCTTAGGACTGGACATCTAGAGTGTGGAGTTTGGCGTAACTCATCCCTTTCAAGCTCTATCTCTAACTAATGAGGGACTTAGGATCTTCCTAATACTCCCTCACGCCCAACACTCTATCGGGCTTGGTACGTGTATATAAATGGTGGGCGGCACATGGTTATATCGTCTGATGCGGGACTCAGACTCTCAAGACAGTGTATGGAAGAGGTAAAAAATCATAACATAATATGGAGTGACAAGGTTGGAAAATCTGTGGGAGTTATATCTATTTAAAAGATTGGATTACTTGATTACTCAATATAATTCAATAAAATTCAATAAAATTAATTATCATTCTTAGTTGCATTTTAATGAAATCTATATCTTTTATATTAATAATTATACAGGTATCTTCAGGGAAGGATGGTTCAAAAAAGGATGTAATCATGGTTGATCCCGTGGAAGCCAAGCGATTAGCGGCCAAACAAATGGAAAGAATTAAAGCAAAAGAAAAACTCAAGGTGAAAAACAGTAGGAAACTGAGTAGTATAACACTAATGAAACCATGTTCCTCAGCTCAACTATATACTTAACCAACTTTATGTTGTGATTGTAGAAAACACGCCAAATTGAGGCGATTAATGGAGCTTGGGCAATGATCGGTCTAACGGTAGGCCTGGTTATTGAAGGCCAAACTGGAAAAAGTATTATGACTCAGGTGAAGTTTCGCATTAATCATATTTAACGAGAAATATCTGATGCATTGATTCCTTTTACTACTTCCATTTGGTTGATCAATTCTTGTATAATGTTTTGATATGCAAACATCTACTTTATTTTCTCAGCTGCAAGACTACTTTGGAGCAATTATTCACCTTTTTGTGAAGTAGACAATCCAAAAGATTGATGGATACACACTAAGAAATGCAGATTCTTTCTCACATTCTTTGTGAATATATCTGTTAAAGGTTTACGGATAAGGTTTTTTCTTAACACACCAAACCTTACAATTTTCACTTCTCTTTTTCCCTTGTTACCTGTTACGGCTACATATGTAACATGATTTTACAAAAGAATTGTGCTGTTAGCCAACTATTGTTGCTCGATATGGATGTTTACTCACTCATTGATTTTTCTTGGTTCTGGTATTTATTGTTGAAATCTTAACATTTTCCCCCCACTGTGTGAAGACTGATGAAGTTGATAAGACGGTTAAACTTTCTTGTCTCGTCTGAGTCGTCTCTACTATTAATTTAGGCCCAATAACAGGTTACTACTCACTCCTTCAAGTACAGCCTTGTGCTCAAGGCTGAAATTAGGAAATTGGCTTCTCAGGTTCAGTTCATTCTCCCAACTTGTATCTTCTGCTGCCAGGCCTTTCTGTTGTATTGAGAACTATCTCTGCATCCCCCTGCTGCCAGACCTTTCTGTTGTATTGAGAACTATCTCTGCATCCCCCTGCTGCCGTAGTTTCGGCATTCACTTCCTATGAAACACGGACACCAAAAACACGTCACCAACACTGACACGTCGACACCGGTAATAATTTTAAATAATGAATAAGTTATATGTAATCACAAATGGACACAGACACACTTTATTTCAGAAGTGTCGGTGTTACAACACTTCTCTCTCCTTAATTAGAAAAGGCCCATATTCTGATCATAGTAGGTTTTCTTCCATACACTGCCTTAAATGGTGTTTTCTCGGATGCGACATGGAATATGGTAAATACTAATATACCACAACTTTGCCCAAGGCAATCCATTTTGCCATTTTCTCATGTTGTTCGGATACAAAACAATGCAAATAAGTTTCTAAGCATCGGGTCGTCGATCTCTGGATGGTATGACCGCGACATTTTCAGCACCCTCCCTTGCATTTTAAACCACTCTTGCCCAAAGGTGCTCTCAAATAAATGATCCCTATCATCAAGGATAGAGTTTGGTATTCTATGCAGGCGAATGATTTCTTTAGCAAACGCCAGCATCACTCCTTGCAGTGTAAGGGTGTTTGAGCAGTACAAAATGAACATACTTAGACTAACTATCTGCCCCCATACACATTTCCAGATAACCTTTTATAAGTCATAAAGAATCTGAAATCATCAAAAAGGCTCACCACACCTCCAAAAGTGTGGGAATGATAGTAGAAGTAGAACGGTCATAAAAAAACAACTAAGCATTTTTTCGATTAAGTGCCATCGTCTACATGATCAACTTTTACCATAATGTTTTATTCATGATCATGTTTCTATTGTTAAGATCAAGATTTTTTCTTAATATATTTTTTTATAGTTTTTCTAGGTCTTTCTCTATCTTCAATTGTTTGACTATTTTTAATCTGATCTATTCTTATCACAGAACATTATTTCATTCTGAATGTCCAAACCACCTAAGTCTACTCATTCACACTTGTGTCTATCTCATAAATTAACACTAAATGAAGGGTGTATAAATGCAACAAAACCAAACTCCTTTAACATATTGAAGTGAATCATTCAAGTGATGAATTACAAAGGAGATAGAGAATGCAAGAGAAACAAAACCTCTTATATTATCTTAAAGTTACTCACTACACCCTCCATGCGTTACTCATGCACCATGTGTAAATTCTAAAATAACTTTTAGTTTCAAAATTTAAAATTCCAACGTACTTAAAACATAAACCATTAGATTGAAAGTAACCCTCAAAACTAAATATTAAAAAATTTCATAGATTGAAATTCTGATGGGCCTATCGGATAGCATCCATAGATAACATCCATATTAGAATTAGGACAATACATATTTCAAACTAATTTGGATTTCAAAATCCGAATTCCAAAATTCATAGAGTACGACGGTATACGGCTACACCTATATTGGATGACTTTATATAGTGTCACATTGTTTTAAGATGTCAAATATAAAGGAAGATTCTCCAATGCCAATTCATCAAATGATCTTAGAAGAGGAGCATACGAGGGTAGACCATGTCGTTGATATGTTACTAATATGTCAAACAAAACATTGTGCAATTGGAAGATAGGCTATAAGTAAGGACGAGTTTGTGGAAAACACTCTTCAGACGGCCACTTTACAAACTATCTTAGCATAGACACGAAATGCTTTGCAGTACCGGTAGCAAACGAGGAAAAAGGGCGTGGAATATATCACTAGTAGGATATTTTGTAATTTGTATTGGGTATGTAATCACTGCATGGGTTTATGTAATAAACAACACCGTATCTTATCCCTTTATCTTATTGGATTGAGTTAAGTGTTATTTTGGCCCAAATCTTAAACATTGGACCTTCCATAGTCATTATGGATATATCACAATTTAACACTTAATAAAACGTAAGATACTAGGTTTTTGAGCTAAAATGAAAATTTCCGAAACTGGAGTACAATAATATGTTGCAGTTAAACAAGAAAAAAACTCGACAAATTCAAGAGTTTATTCCTTCGTATATATTTCCTATTCCTTGTAAGATTTTCTCCACTAAGATCCAGTTTCTACTTTCAAATTATAAACAATGTTTAGTCTCATTCTTATTCTTATCAAAATCAATTTCATGCATTTAGAAATACTTTTGACTTGTTATCTTATCGTAAAACCAAAGTTGATTGGTCAACAAAAGAAGCAGTTTCCTAGGAAAGAGGCATTACATTGCTGAACTAAAACCAACAAGGATAAGGATAGAGATACAAGAACATGGAAAGTTGTTGTGGAAAAAGACATGTTCCTAGTTTCCACAAATTCATTCTTATATAGCAACAAAACGTGTTCTTTTTAATTTCATCAACCGAGTAGGACCTACCTCCTTAAAACGTGGCTAATTGCGTTTCCAACCAATTTTCAAATTCCAAATTCTATTACTAACAAAACTATGGGCCATGCCGTTGCTTCTTTCTTTATCCAATCTCTTGCTAAATCTTAGTGGGCTCCACCTACCTTTTGCCCAATCTAATCTTCTTTTTTTCATATGTCTTTGGATTCAATCTTGTTTGTTGAAATTCACACCTTGTATTGTATCGACCAATCTTATGAACACAAGTCATGCCCTGTCACGTGCTCTCGCGTCTTACTAGATAGCGTCGACTCCTCACAAATCACTTTCTTCTTTTCATAATAATGCACCTATTTAATCATTTTGCAAAAATTAGGAAAGATCTATAAAACAAATATATTTTTTTTTATCAACGTATCTAGGTGGTGATTATTTTAATTATTATTTTTTTTTAATTTATTTGGATTTTTTTTTAAACTTTAATTACGATGGGCAAATTAAAAGGTGTTATATTGTAGGGGGTTATACAAATATAAATTTATAAATTAATAACGTTTTATCTTTTTCAGTTTTATATAGATTCAAATCACCTTTAATTGTGCTGTCAATGTTATATTCATATTTTATCCAATTTTGTATTCATATGTACTTAGTTTACGGTCCATACTATATAATCTTTTTGTTGGGCTATCTCTTTTATTTGGAGTGGTCAAAATCAATGTGGGTTTAATAGTCCACGTGTGTGTAAGTCTTTGTTATTTATAACTATGTATAAACACAAAACTTGTTTTTGGTGTAACATTTTTTTCCCGATAATACCTTGTCTGTTCTTTTATTAAATTCCAATTTCTCTTTTATTAACTGCTATATGGTGGTTTGACATCTCTTTCATTATACTATTTTTTCATATATTATAAATAATTTAATTAAAATAAAAAATAAAAACACAAAAAATACCGTTTACATTTTGACCCGTCTATGCATTAATAAAAGCGAAAGTGTCTGTCTGGACGCTAGTTAAAAAATAAAGAGATTTAGATCAACAATTCATAATGTGAGAAACAAGATAAGAAAAATTGAGAGAAGAGTGAAATTCCAGTAGTCCCAATTCAAGCCAAACCACTTCTACGAGATCAAATTTTTCTAACAATCCAACTGTTGGATCGTCCTGATTTTTTTTGACAACGTTCAACACTCAAAGAGGTACATTATGAACGGTGGATATCAGATTTTGAGCATTTTAAGTCTGTCTGACGAGTCCACTTCAGAGGTGCAGTTTTTGTGGTTGTTTTTGGTTGATTGTCTCTCTTGATTCTTGTTGCATTTCAAGATTGATTGTAGATTTTGATGATGTTGATGTATGCCTATAACTTGTGTTAGATAGAATCTTGATTGTACCCATTTTTTAATTATAGTGGAGATTTAAGTGGCCTACAGGTCTCATGGTTTTTTTCTCCTAGTTAACGGAGATTTTTTCACGCTAAAATTGTGTTGTGTTATCTGGTGTGTTTTGTTGATTTTCGTTGCATTTGATATTTGGGAGAGATTTTATTGTTGGATTATTCTGTTGCATTGTATATTTTCTCCTAACAAGTGGTATCAGAGTCATGGTTTGATTTGTGTAACGATGGAGACAAACGCATCTAGGATAGTGAGTTTGAATGGATCCAACTATAATGTTAGGAAAGTGAAGATGAAAGATTTGCTTTATATTAAAGGCTCTCACTTGCTTGTTTTCTCTAATGAAAAATCCGATGGAAAGAGTGATGAAGAATGGACTTTGTTGCATAGACAAGTTTGTGGCTACATTTGTCAATGGGTGAATGATAATGTTTTGAATCATATGAGCTCGGTGGCTCATGCTCGCTCTCTTTGGACCAAAATTGAGGAGTTGTATGCAAGAAAGATGGAGAATAATAAGTTGTTCTTGTTTAAGCAATTAATTTCATTGAGGTATTGTGATAGTTCACCAATGACCGATTACTTGAACACTTTCCAAGGGATTCTAATTCAATTATCGCCAATGAATATTACTTTTGATGATGAAATTTAAGGTTTATGGCTTCTTGGTACTTTGCCTAATTCTTGGGAGACTTTTAGGACATCTTTGTCTAA